TATTTAAAAAGCTGAAGAATATATTTCATTAAATTATTCTACAATTCAGATGGTCCCCTAATTCAGACAACTCTCTCCTGCGCCCTGATTTTATTCCAAATTAATGACATTTTATTATAAATAAAGGAGTAGATACTACCAGATATATCAGCATTTAGAAAACCTTGAAAGTTTCTAAAAATTAAGACTCCTAACAAGCCGTCAGGCTAACGCTGGCCACACTCCTTCCCCCGTGGGGACAACAGCAGCCTGAAACAGGAAACAGGGACATTCTCCCTCTGCCTTGGCTGGCACTCTGGAAGGAGGACAGGACGCTGACATTTATTGAGTTGGGTGTCCAGCCCAGAGGCATTCCCCTTCACTCACGAGCTCCAGCTCCAATTCAGCCAGCACTAGGTTTCATTACTTTACCAGGAGGAGGTGGTCACTGAGCGAAAATTTACTGAGCGACGGGATGGATATTCACACCATCTCAAAGTGTCACTACCGCAAAGATAATTTTTAATTGCAAAGGGGAAAATGCACCTTTATATGGAAGAGATAGAGAGACCCCCCCAGCCCAGTAGTGGACCGTGTCCCTCACAGTGGGACTGCCTGATGTCACGTGACTCCCGGTGCGCTGTAATATGAAGCACACAGCACCGTTTTCGGAGTGTTCTTGCTATAAGAAAGGTTATCTCAATCTAATAGCTCCTCCAAACTCAGGAAACACAGGAATCAGCAAAACAGCTCCAACACCGCAACAAGGAAACGCCCAGCCAACTCCAGAATATGAGACACTGTGCATGACAACCAGCCAGGACTCTTCAGAAAGGCAAAAAAGAACCTCACAAGCTGAGCATAGGGGAGAGTCTTCTAGGGTAAAAGTGACGTTAAAAAAAAGGAACGAGAGGACCCTGAGTGGGTTTATTTTCTTGAAAACTCCAGCTATGAGCGACTTGTGACCTTTGGGGAAGTGTGAATATGGACTGGATATTAGGTGGTACTCTGAAGTTACTTATTTTCTGAGGTGTGATCGTAAAACTGCGGTTATGTAGAAGACGGCCCCTATTCTGAGGAGGCTCAACTGAAGCTCTTAGGAGTCCAGTGTGATGCTGGCTGCAACTAACCTTCAGATGGCTCAGAAAATCAACAACAACAATAACAGAGAGATAAAGTAAATATGACAAAATGTGAACAATTTCTGAATCTGAGGGCAGTTGTTCACTCTATTACTGTTCATCTTTTCCGTATGTTTGACATTTTTTAAAATAAAAACTGGGATACGGTGGGAAGAGGCAACCCCAGAAAAGGTAGTCCCAACCTGAGTGTGTCTGCACAGAATGAACAGGAAGGCCAGTTCACCATGGGAGAAAACACCAGGGAATATCTGAGATTAGGATTTCAAAGCTGGGTAGACTGGTTTATGGTGTTAGTTCTGACCTCAGGAAAAAAGCTACCATTTCTCAATGCCAGCAGTGTTTTTATAAACCACTGACACCTTCTCCCAGCTGGCTCATCCCCATGTCTGTAACATGAAGAACACACAGTGATTTATCCAAGCTCTCCAAATGCTTGTTTTGTGAGAAATCAATTCTGTCTATACTTCAGCCCAGAACTCTGACTGCACACAGTGAAGGAGGCTTGAGTTTGCTGTGCATTCACACATTCTGGGAATAAACACCCCAAACGCCAACACACACCCTAGCCAATACTGACCTCTGGCTGACAGCAGGCCCACCACCCTGCCCTGGAGCAGTCTGCTGAGTTCCACGATGCTCAGCTCCATTCTGCTGGGACTCTAGCGTGAGTGACTACATCGAGTCACAGACTATAGAGAAAGCCACCAAAACAAGAGGAACTGCTCAGCAAGCAGATCATGACAAAGCCTCCTCATTTAAAGCATTTCTTTCTACTCAGACACCCAGTGTCTTTCAGTGACATCTCAGAAAACCCAGAGGGGAAGTCCCCATATCAGCCTGCCTCTGAGTTGATTCGGCTTTCCCAGCTGAAGCTTCTGGAAGGCTCACCAGTTTAACAAGGTGATGCTGACACTGGGACATGCCTGTGGACAGTAGCCTGTAAGAGTCTGTATGTTTACATAGCTTAAAGGATCAGCTCCATATATCACCTGGCACCCAGACTCTCAACTGACTGGACTGAGCCATCTGAACACCCCACATGGTGAGCCAAACACCAGGATGAGAAATTCTTGTGAGAATCAAAATCTTCCCTTGAGATGTGAATAATATAAGAAGTCTTCCTCTAGGACAAAATCCTCTAGGATAAAAAAACATAGCAACTTGTAAATAGAGGGGAAAAAAGTGGCTTTTCTGGGTAGAAAAAGAAACATCAAGACCGTGGTCTAAGAAGTCACTGAAATTGGGGACAGAAAGCCATGAAAAGTACCTCCCAGCCTGTACAGCAGAGAAGTGGGTCCATCCCATAGAACAGAGCTGGTCCAACAGGGAAACGAAACAGCTCTCAGAACTAGGGGAACTGTCAGAGAAGAGAGGCACTGGGCCCCTGCCTGAGGGACGAAAGCACAGGAAGGGAAAAGACTCTGACTCCACAGAGGAGAGGGATTGTTCATTCAAATTGCTTGGGAGAGAAGATTGGTATTTAAAATATGCTTGAAGAAGATAATGATGGAACTGATGAAAGACAGAGTGGACAGAGCAGACACTTGTCGTGAGAGTCTGGTGCTCTTGACAGCTTGGCCCAACTGAGGAAACAACACTGTGACTAGAAGACTAAAAGCCCAGAAAAGGCCAACAGCCCACAGACATACTTCCTTGAGACCACCTCCACCTCCTTTTCTTTTCCCCAGCAAAGCCATTCCAAATGTAAAACAGCCCCTTAGATTTCCTCCTTTTCCCAACAGTGCAAAATGGAAGAGCACCACTGTTGTATTTCAACAGAACCAAGTTTAAGAGATAAGAAGGGAACTTTCTCGACTGGGTCCCAGTCTGCTGTCTGCTTCTAGATGGGGAACTAGAGCTCTCACTCTCATCTTCACTTCTGTGTCCATGGCAGACACAGCCCTAGCTTTTCCAACTCTTCTCTCCAACCCTCCTACTCATCATTGTCCCAGGACCAGTACCCACTTGCACAAGCTCCCTCCATGTCTAGCCTTACACTGAGCAAGAGACCACTTTCTAGTTCGGTCTTTACATTCACCAAGTACTAACCACAGTGGATCTGCATATGTGCTCACACTGAATATTAAGTAAAGAAGCAAGTGTGTCCCTGAAGACTTGCAGGGCCAGCACCATCTCTCTGAACACATTCAACCCAGCACACTTCTCAGCTGTGAGCAACTCTGCCCAGTCATAATCACATTTCCCTCTCTGAATCACAAATATCAAACCCTAGGGAGCAAGTAAGGCCATCAGCATCAATCAAATCTATGAAAATAGCCACAGCTAGGCTAAGAAATCTTAGGTTGGAGAACAAAATAAAAACTAAGCCTGCAGTTCCTTTAGAGCGAAACGAAGGTCAGCTGGAGGAAAGCGGAGTGGGAGGGGAGTGAAGACCCGTACAGAAAACACACAGTTCAAGCACACAAGTCAGCAGCTAATTCTGGCTACATAGTCACAAATTACTACTGCAAGAACAAGTGGGTATTTATTTGTTCAACAAGGAAAACAGCAAGGCAAGTAGAGACTAAAAAGAAAAGTGGCAAACACATACACTGGAGCACTTGTTGCAAGACTTACCAAGGCCAGGCAACCAGAAGAAAGTGGTGTTCAAGAACAGCCTCTTCAGGATACCAAACGCCTGGGAGAATTCTCCCAAACAAGCCCTATGTTATAAACAAGCAAAGCTGCTACTCCAGCAACTGGACCCTGCAAGACAAGGCACACTGCTGCAGGATCCCGCCCAGGTGCTGAGGTGAGTACTTTGTCCACTCTATCCACATGAGCACAGTGGGGAAGTTCTGAGAACAAGTCATTTTGGAACTAATGCCTGTGTCCAGATAGTTATGCCCTTCCTTCCCCCAAAATGCAGTCGCAGAGGCACTCCTAGGCCTACCAGCCAACCAAAGCTCCTTTGATACTTCAAAAGGGAAGGATGTGCACTAAGAAAACACACAACCCTCCCCTCTGCCCACCTGACAGCAGAGTGGAAGTTCTAGTTTTCCAGAAGGGCCCTCTGGGGATTTCCTCTCCATCAGTAAACTGTCAGGGAACTGTCCCTGGTGACTTAGTACAGGGATTCGGAGACCTCCCAGGTCCTCTGCACCCCCTTCTCCATGGAGCCACTAGGTTGCCCAAGTCTCATGGAAAGAAATTTGAGATATAAATAATAAAAGTGAGCTAGGAAAGGGAAGAGCCTGAGACGCCTGAGACTTAGTTAGGAAAGTCTAGGACAGAATGGAACAGGTGGGCCTATTCAGGAAGAAGGAAAAGAGGAAATGTGCGGAATAAGGGAGTCTGGGTGATTCCTGCGCCGACCAAAACAGAAAATAAAACTGAGAAACAAGGTCCGGGGTGGGAGGAGGTAGTACTGAGAACGCAATGCATGGCTAACAATCCAGGTATTGTGGAGTAGCAGGATGTAAATGCGAACGGGAGATAGTAAATATTACGAGTGTAGGCGCATTAAAAAGCTCAACATCAAACCGGGAATTTAGGGATGCGAGTTCAAAGCATGGGAGGCTAAGAAAAACCTCTCAGACAGGGTCACGGCCTCAGGGTAGCTGGAGCAGCCTTAATTCGCGATGACAAGGTGGTAAGGAAGCGACTTTTAGGCGGGTAACTAAAGCAAGGTGCGTACAGGTTGCAGGGGAGGAGCAGGGGTGACCTGTGGCTGCACGCTGCATCGATAAAGCAAGCCACAGGCTCAGGATGCTCCCCCTTGTCTGGGAATGCCCAGGCTGGGTTCGCTGGACGAAGGCACCTTCGCCAAGGGTCCCGGGTCCCCAGGCCTGAATTCTTCAGGCAGGAGGGTGCCTGAGGAGGCGCCTGGCCGGCTACTCCAGGTGCAAGGCCTCAGGAAGGTGGGGGTCCCGGACTCACGCATCAACGTGCTGAAGGCCACGACGCCGAGCAGCCCCTGCAGGAAGATGCCGAAACTGTGCATGAGTGCGCCGCTCTCGCAGCGGCCCGCCCCGGACGCAACGGTAGAGGGCGGCCCGCCCGGCAGTCCACGGCTCGCGTTCCCAGCAGGGCCCTGCATGGCGGATCTGGGGGAAGAGCGGGAGACACCTCGGCTCGCACAGCCTCGCTGCCTGCGGGCCGTGCCGCCGAGCCCCGAGCCCGGAGCCCGGAGTCCCAGCTAGGAGCCGGTTCCTCCGCCCCGCGGCCGACTCGGCGCTGCGCGTAACCCGACGTCTGAGATCGCAGCGCCCGATTGGCTTGGCCCGGCGTGGGGGCGGGCCTTGGCCGCGGCTGCTTTCCCCTAGAGGGGCGGGACTCCGGCCGGGGGAGGTCGGGTGTGAGTCAGTTCACAGGTAGGACAGACTAGGTGAGCCAGTTGAGCAAACGTGAGAGTAGAGTGGCCCCGGGACCTGGAGGTCTAGATCAGTAGGGGCGAAAGCAGGGGCGGTCTGTGACTAAAGTCATTTTCCCTCCAAGATAAATCCTTTATATCCTGCAAAACTTTAAAGAAATATTCCTGGATTCCACCCTCAGATTCCAATTCAGTAGTTCTGAGACAGGGCCTAAAAATATGCATTTTCAGCAAGCCGCCTGGATTATTCTGAAGCTGGTTGTTGAGAAAAACAACCCAAAACTCAGCACACAGGCATATGCCTTCCAATCCAGACGTTTGTCGCCCCTCTACTTTCCTCGTTAGCAGGGACAACCCGGCCAAAGGCTTATCTTAGAGCCCCCCAGTCAGCCAGGTCCTCGCCAACTTTTCAATTACTTGATTGTTGTTCAATTACAGTTGTCTGCATTTTCTCCCCACTCCTCCCCCCAACTTTTATTTTCTTTGCTAAATGTAATTTAAATGGTCACTTTCAATACAATTGAAACATATATTTATACTGAAAATGTGTTAATACATCTTTATTTTGTGATTCATAAAAAAAGCCAACTTGTTTTTTGCCAGTCTCCAACAACTCCCTCCACACATGCACACTTCCTCCCACCTAACCCCTTCTGACTGATTCCTTGGAGTGGGCTTTCTACCTTTTACCAGAGCCTCGAGTCCACATTTCCTCAACTACCCTCCCAGAACCCTCTGGCTTCTCTCCAGGCACCTATTGTTAGTGCTCTACAGTAGCTGACCTTCCTGCTGCATCTACTTAATGCCAGTGTACACAAAGTATTATTCCAGTAGACACTGAGCTGCATTTGTGAGACAATAAATACCCTATTCTAGGGAAATTTTCCCTAAAAGATAGCCACCAAGAAATTCCAACTACATAAGAGAGTTAAATGCTATACAAAACCTTTCTTGGTTAACTGGAATATTAATCTCATTATCCAGAGAACAAAAACGCAACTGGTTCCCTAGAGCCAATTCCCCAGCCTGCTCTTAAAAACACACTTGCACATCTCTGTGCCTTTAGGGAGCATTCTCACTGCATTGAATACTGGTCCCTCTTCCTGGTCCCAAGAACCGCTACTTGTGCTTTAGGGCCTTCCTGACCTCCCTCTCCTCATTGTACTTCTACATTACCTTGTGTGTGCTGCTCCACTGGAACTTTTCAGGCTGCTAAGTTAGACGGTCGTCACACTAAGTACAACCTGCCCCCTATCCGAAGGCAGGAACTGGTTTTTATTCACCCTGTAATCTAACATAGTCCCAGCAGAGAGAACATGCAACAAAATGCTTTTTAAATTAAACTGAATTTTAATTTATAAAATTTAAAACTCTCCACAAGTATTAACCATGGGAAAATACAGAAAATCGGGTGAAGAAAATAAATAGGTAAGGGAAATTCGCATTACTGTCTTTAAGTCTAAGAAGGTCTCTTACCGGGACGCTCACCAGTTACAGTTGGTGTTCAGAGAGAACCAAACAAGAGGATGTGTACTTAAAGCAGAAGAGACTGTGGTTAGGCATGAGGAGACTTGATTGCTTGAAGACAACACAGACAGCTCAAGGAAAATTGCACAGTTGAAAAATGAAGTTTTTGACAAAGCATTGCTCTGCACATCCAGATGCGGAGGAATCCTTAAGGCCTGTTGCTGCTGTACCAAGGCAAATGTAGTGGAACAAGAAGCAGTCTTCAGAGATCAGGAGCAAAGTCCCTAATGCCAGGAACCAAGTTGCTGTGGGGAAAGCTCTGCTCTTCCTACTTTTTCTAAACTGTAATAAAAAAAGTACCTAAATCTGGAGAGGAAAGAATCAGACAGCAGGAGAGGGGGGAGAATTCTGAAAAGATTCATTTCATTAAAGTAGGAAGGAACTTTCTCCTCCATTCAGAGATGACTCTATGAGGCCCCACTGGGAAGTTTTTTGAAGGATTTACTCTGGCAAAAGAAGCCCTCTTGCTGTTAAATGAAGTTAAACATAACTTAAGACCTGTTTTAATATTCTCACAACCACTTTAAAACTGCCATAATATACCACAAATTTATATACACTCTTATTTACAAAACAAACAAAATCCCACACAAAAAATATTCATCCAAAATAGTTATTTTTTTAATCCCTTGAAATATCAAACTTGGTGGAAGTTTTTTTCAATAGGTATTCTTGTGCGTATTTCTCCTTAAGTATACTTTATCCTCAATGCATGACTTGTAAAATTAAGAGAAAAACAGCAAGCAAGTATACAATGCAATATGCATTTCATTTTGTTCCAAACAGCTTAAAAAAATAATAAAAGGACAACATACATTAAACAAAGTGCATCAGTTCTAAGGAGTTAGTATTAGAAAGAGGCCTAAGGACAGTGCTGGAACCTGCCAGAAGTTCTGCCTTGGCAGGCCTCTGATTGTCTTTAGAGAATACTCAACCCAAGAAAGAAAGGAAAGTAAATGAGTGCTTTAAAATCTCAAGAGAAACACTCAAGCTATACTTCTCTAGAGACTTCTTGCAAAAGGAGCTGAAAAACTGTCCAGTTTTAATTTTGTCTAAACTTTTAACTGCCTTCAATCACCTGCTTTGTAACCTGATTTGCCCCCAAAGCCTACACCCTCATCCTTTCAACACTGTTTGCCATTCTGTCAAGTGAGGCATGCAGTTAGAGTGAATAAACCACATAGAAGTCCTTAGGACTGAGCTTCCACCATCCTGAGAACAGGAACCCCTATCAGCAATGGTGACTTCATTTTACTACTAAGTATTGGTCTTTGCCTCCCACAGCTCAGGGTCACACTTTACTGCTGGTGTTAAAGACCTGTCCTGCAAAGCTGTGGCTTATTTCCCTTTTAAAACAGTCCTTTGTGATATGCTATAGCACCAGAATAGACCCAAAAGTTTTAAGTCATAAAAGACATAAGGGGAGGGAGTTTTAGGGCTAATTCCCCCTTCCCCCAACCCTCACTCCTGGTTTTGCTGGTTTATGTGAAAATGTAAGACTTCTGAAACACTGGAACCAAGAAAATCATTCTCCAGTGCATTTACCACCCACCACCTTCTATACCTTAACCCCTAAGGCAGCCCTCAGAAACAAGGCTACCTATGTGATCTGGAACAAGGACAGAGGAAACCCCAAGTGAGCAGATTTGAAACCAGACCCATTCGGACTGGGCTTTGAGTTTCGAACTCTTCTGCAAAAATTATAAGGTGGCTTACTATTTGAATAAATTCAAATTCCCAAAAGTATGCACACTCTCACACAGTGCGCAGGAATCATCAAAATTCACTATCAAAACACTGCAAAGAGAATAAAGTCAAGGAAGAATTATAACTGCATGAATATAACTGATTTCTTTTTGGTTTTGCACGAGGCTCTGTCCTAGTTTCTGAGCCAGCACAATGACCATGACCTGGGTCCAAAACATTCAAATTTTCAAAGGGGGTACCCAGTCCCCAGAAAGATTTATACTTCACTTGTTAGTGACATCTTTTCCTTCATCTTCATAAGGCCAACTATTCACACAGAACACTTTTAAACTTACACATACACACACACATAACATCCCCAATATACAGGACCAGAGTTCAAACCCAGTGTACATTCCCATGGTTGAGGCAAACTCCTAACAACTTTCTCAGAGCTTCTGTGGGCATCAATCAAACCAGCAAATGGTGTCTTCAATATAAAAGTCTTTGGTGATACATGCCAAGTAAATATAAATGCCTGTGACAGTGTTCCTAATGTCCCCATCTAGACAAATCTTACCTACTGTTAACAATTCCCTGATGTTCTCTATAGTCCCTAGAAATAATTTTTGGCTTGAGATAGGGAAACAGTTCTGAGTCCTACACTACCTAAGGCCTTCTAAAGCTTTTCATCTGTATTCAGGTACCACACTAGTGACTGAATTGGTATAAGAGAGTCAGTAAAATGTATTCAAGTCCTTGGGAAGCTTTGGTCTTTGCAAAACCCTGTCCCTCACAGTGAGAATAATTTTACTTTCAGGAGAAGAGGCATATAAAGGCCAAATTCTGAACAGTTTTCTGCTTGCCTCTATCATAATTCAATAAATATTTACCAAGAAGCCCATCTTTTCCAGAGGTTGGTAAGTATCCTTCTCTGACCTCATATATTTTATAATATAGATGCTGGAAGCCACCTACATTGCTAAAGAAAGCCAGATAGGATAAAAGCCCCCTGTTAATGTATTCCCTGCATTACCCACTTCAACTCTGCTTCAACTGAGAAGGATAAAGGTAATTTACAAAGGAAAATAGCATAGTTCCCACAAGCCAATAAAATATAGTCAAAATGTCACAGAAAATCTTCATGTGCTGAGAAAGGTTTCCCTAACACATTCACATAGCAGTAACAAGCTAACACTGGTCAGCTGCCTTCAAGGCCCAGGAGAATGATACAGTTCATTCACCTGTCTCCAGCTTGTCAATTCAGGATCAAAAATGGATCATGAAATCTTGCTGACTTCAGGTAGGCCATAGGGCCAGCTAAAGGTGAAATTCAGACAAATGTAGTACACCTCACAATGCACCTCTCATAAATTTAAGAAGTTGGTACCTTTAAAAAACAAAGTCCATGACAGCAAACACACAATTATTAACAACCACACCTAAAACAAAAACAAACACAAACTAAGCAAACA